TTTTTTTATTATCGCAAACGTACAAGTACAGGCGCAGGGGTCATAAATACTATCGCACAAAACTGCTTCAAAACCATCAAGAATTTTCTAGTACAGCTGCATACAAAAAAGAATTCCCTAGACATGTTTTGTGATATATAGCATTCAGCTTCAATGCGATTGCCACAAGAGAAGACTATCAAACAAAAATTGCCAGACTTCGAGAAAATGAACCTTGTGAAGCTCTGCTGGCAAACGTTTAGTATCACACAAGTTGTGATCTCACAGCTTCTCGTGTGAGGTAATATTTTTATATTTTATTCATACCGGTTTATTCAATGCTTATTAGGTAATATAATGCACATCGCAAGGTTGACCTCTAAATCATTTGCTCGTTATCTAATAATTTTGTTCAGATTTTTAGTGATTTCAAGGAGTTAAGACTGCGCATTTTAATCGTGTCGTCTAATAACAATCTCCAACGAACTTGCTTTTACAGAAAGATTCATCCTAGCACAAACCAAGGAGAAAAATTTTCCGTTAGAATACGAACCGTCACAAGCATCATAGACATCTGCGGTTAGTGCTTTTTCAATAAAAGTTGATTTTATAGGCACAAAGTTAGCATCAATTACCTTCGCTATTGTCGTGGATTTGCTTCTAGAGTTCGGCCTGCATGCCACATACTTGCTCACATGCCGAGGTCTTGCTTCACATTCGACATCACGGCGGCTCTTATTTATCTAAAGAACTCATATAAAGGTCCTGATGATTGACGAGCTGCTGAAAATCCAAAAAGAGATCCTCAGCACACCTGACTATTCAGCATCTGCACATGATCAATGCTACTCGTCAGGCGACGCTCCAGATCAGCACGTTCAAGTTTCGCCTTCATCTTCATGTCTTCTTTCTCCATCAAATGTTGTGAGATCTCCGCCTACAACGACTTCGTTTTTCTTCTTTGAATCAAGATCTCGGTGACAACTGACCTTAGCCCTTTCGAGGCTCTGCTCAAGCGCTGCTTGCTTTCCTGTCCAGTAATCAGACTGTTCCTTGTATTTGGACAAAGTCTCGGCCAGCGACTCTTCAAGAGCATGTTCCAGCTCTTCACGTTGTGCAGCGAAACGAATCTCAAACTCGCTTTTCTCCTGAAATTGACCAAGATTCAGGGTGCGTAGGTTCGTATACTCACAGATATGAACCTTGAGAAGCTGCTCAATACGCGACTCCAACAACGGCACTCTCTCAGCCACTGCCGATATCTCTTCCAGTTTCCTGCAACAAAAAA